TAAAAAATACTTTAGTATCCGAAACAGTAGTCTTAGCATATCCACATTTCGAGAAAGATTTTGAACTAACGACCGGCGGCTACGATTTTGCAATAGGTGCTGCCCTATCTACTAACTATTCATAGACATATAATTACAGAACCAGAGTACAATGAACAATTATTAATATGTTATAAATGGAATTCATACAGAAGAAAGGATAATGGGTATGATACAAAATATTAGTAATATTAAAAGTCGATACACGACAAAATTAGTTGAAAATATTAGTAACGAACAAGAACAGGAGAACGTCATACTAAAAGAACAATTAAGAAAACATAAGAATGCGTCTCAAAATAAAACACAAATTCTCGAAGGAAAATACTTTCCCATTCTATTAAATAAAATAAAACAAATAACAGCCAACAGCAACGTTTGTAAAAAAAAAAAAATAATAATTACGAGAGGCATCCCAACCAACCGAAATTTGCAGAAACTCCATTATAAACGTATCCAGAACACACAGTCCATACCTTTATAAATTTAACAGAAGGAAAATTGTTAGGACAGCTCTAGAGAAAAAAAAAACGCAGTAACAAAAAGCCTAAATAGCGAAGCAATTGAAGACTTCAGAAGATCCCTAAGAGATATTATACTTTTTTTCGGAATACCAAAATTAATAGTTATTGACAATAGCCATTTTTAAACTCAGTCTCTTTAAAATTTACAATGATGGACGAGTTAGGAATAGAAGTTTACGCTACTCCTCCATATAAAAGCCAAGCTAACGGACAAGTGGAAAAGTTCCACTCCACATTTAGAAAGAACAGTGTCTGAGTACTATAATCATTCAGTTCATTCCGCAATATTTAAGAGACCGGTATACCTATTTTTTCATAGAAATGTTACATTTACCCCGAGGACGTAGAAAAAACTAGAAAAATTAACTCAAACAAAACAAAGATATCGAATATCACAACAAGAATAAGCAATAAATAAAATCATATTTACCAGGATAAACAATATTTGTTAAGGAAAATAGGAAATTAGGAACTAAGCTAAGTAAGATCTGCAGTAAGGAACTAGTTAAAGAAGACAGAAATAGTACCATGTTAACCGAAAGAGAACAAATAATTCACAAAACTAAATATGTACTGATATACTTTTGAAGAATATTACTACCGCTATGCCTGGCGCAAGTACAGATACTCGATTTTTCAAACTAACAACTCAAAACAATAGAAAAAGAAACGGCTAGATTACAAACAGGAAAATGTAAAATAATACACGAAGTTAAATAGGAAAATATTTAAACCGAAATTATTCGCAGAAACCCTAACTACTTCACGTTTCACCCAATAACAAAAAAAACTCAACTGAATACTCTAAAAGTAGAAAAGAAATTGAAAGGAATAATAGATTTCCTGGGAGGCGCATGGAAATGGATCGCAGGAAGTCTAGACTATGAGGACTAAGATATAATTTCAGTAAAATAAATAATTTCTTGGAAAATAATAATAAGCAGGTACTAATTAATAAACTTACAATGGATAGAATTAGTGAAAAAAATATTACGAATAATATAATTTAAACTATACAAAATGAAAAAAAAAATTTATTCTTATAGTTAATATACAAGAAGAATATTAAAGAAGAAATTTTAAATATTGCATACGAAATACATTGGTCAAACGCCAATAAAATAAATTCGTTTATTTTGTAAAAAGAAAAGTTTCAAATTTATTTAACTAAATTTTTAAATTTTTTTTATAATATTTTCAGCAATTTTTGAAATTAAAAATGAAAGTATTGAAAATATGCGAATAATAAACTCTTAAATTATATTTAATTTATTTAAAAAATAGAAAGTGATTTGTATACAGACACCCTGTACTTACCTTTAAGCTTTAGGGGAAAACATGTACTACTCCCCTGTACCGATATTATTTGTTGGTTTATTCGAACGACGTTGTTGGTTAATTAGAAAACGGCGAAAGACGAGCATCGAGAGAACGAACGCTTCACCTCATATTTGGCGAAATATATTTAAAAAGAAATTAAATCACTACAGCACTATTTATGAATGATATATTTATATATGATTTCCACTCACTTCGCTATTAACACCATTAACACACATACACATTTCATAGAAAACAAAATTACCTTTGCACACTATTTTATTTCACTTTAGGAGTACACACATTCTTTGCTTTTACTAGAACACCTACAACTATTCACTTAACTTAAGATTTCATTTAATTTGCATAACTTTGACTCAAGCTTTTAGATTAAATAAAATTATTTAATAAGCACTTTTACTAGAAATTTCTAACGCGTTTATTACTAATTTCCCGCAACGCGAACCGATGCGCAATCTAACTATTGACCGATCGCGATTGAAAAATCCCATTGACTGACTCTGAGCAAATATTGTATGTAGTGAGTGTGTAGTGTTCCCCACGACAGCGGTGATGCTGTTGTGTTTGTTGTATGTGGTGTAATCTGAATGGGGAGAAGGCGTTCATTGTTTTTGTCCACCTTACTTTGCGGTTACACTTCGCAGCAGAGCGAAGGAGTAATGTAATCGCTACATGCCTACTGCATTACGGTAGTTGTTGCTTCTCCATGAAATGTTGTTTGTTTGTAAATTAGTAGCAATTTGGCGATAGAGATGGCAAATGAGAGAACTCGCATGAAATTTTTTGGCAATAGAGGTGTAAAATGAAAAAACTCACATGCGATTTTCTTTATATGTATGTATATGCACGGGATTTTCTTTTTACTCTGAAAATATTTTTAAATGATAACGTCTTCAACGAAATGAAAAATGTGACTTCAGGTGTGGGAAAAAGGCAATCAAACGGTACAAATGAGGAATTTTGCTGTACCGACAGGGAAATTAGATATATGTAGATGAAGTGTACATAAGTATGGTATATAAAACAACTTCTAGATACATATTTGTGAAATATACGTATATAAACCGCTGAACATATGACGCGACAGAGTATTATATAATATTTGCTGTCGAAGTTGTAGTTATACATATATGTATACTGTGCACGAGTACGGCAATTTTGACTTTGTTGTGTACAAAATTGAATTCCCAATAGCTTCCTGTCGGAGCGTTTACAACATCAAAGAGATAACTATGCCAACGAATAACTCTACGAAAGTATTGTTATGTAAATTAGATGTAGGTATATGTGAATAGAGTGTATGTATATGACTTTGTAGATATACATATATCTTAATAGAAATGCCTTCACCCAGTGGAACCTGCTGATATTGAAAGGTAACTGTTAAGATAAATCTGTTAACACAGCGAATGAGTCAGAAGCCTCGTGTGAAGTTTAAGACAACAGCAAGAACACTCAAATATATGAAGATATATATTCACAAACTTGGATATAATAAAGACGATTTTATTACCTAAGAAATTATTTCATAGACCACGCAACTCCAAAAAAGTATCGTCAAACTACCATCGAATTAATCCAAGGGCACGCCGATAAAGACACCCTATAATTATTTTACACATCTATTTTGTACCTAATGGGTGCATACATATTTTCCAGAAACTTGATGGATCATACTCTTTAGTTATGGTTGATGTTGACTCTAAAAATTGTATATCACCACCGAACGGTTTATGTCAAATAGACCTTCTAAGACTTCTAAGAGGGCAAGCAACCATCCGATAGGTTCAACTAATGTTGGATTTGTCTATGGATAATAAAATTTGGTATACTACATTTATAGGAACAATGTTATAGTCCAGAGGCATGAATTTCCGATAAGTAATATTTAAGTATGAAAAGCGTATCCAATTCTCCAATATGTGACGAGAGAGCAGACGTTCCATTGCCCGACAATGAAGGAGTTCAAATGGCGATTACCCGTTTGATGAACAGTAAAGCGCCGGGGTGATGAATTGTCGGCCGAGCTATTCAAATACAGAGGAAAAAAACTCCTTATCAATTCATCATTCATTTATCAGTTTCTTTGTAAAATATGGTCAGACGAAAGAACGTCCGGCGATTGGAATATAAGTGTGCTTTGTCCAATCCACAAATCAGTGGACCCTACAATCTGCGCCACCTACTGTGGGATAAGGCTCCTCAATATCGTATATAAGGTTCTATTGAGCATATTGTCTGAAAGATTAAAGCCCACCTTCAAAAAACTGATTGGACCTTATCAGGTTTTAGGCGTGGAAAATTAACAACTGATCAGATATTCACCATGTGAACAGATCCATCTTGAAATAGATCCGGGAAAATCGACCTCTACGTCGATTTAGAACTGCTTTTGATAGCACAAAAAGGAACTGCCTCTTTGATATCCCTTCAAAACTAATACGGCTGTGCTAACTGACGTTGAGCAATACCAAAAGCTTAAAAATTTCAGATAAATCTTACAGTTCCAAGAAAAAAGCGCTTAAAGCAAAATAACTTTATCTCCGAAAAAAACTGAGTTTGGAAAAATCCTGCAGTAGAATGGAGTTGCTTTCAAAATCGATGACGTTGACCCAATAGAGTTAAAAATAGATAAAATATTGAAACCATAACTACTCGTATATATACCTTCTAGTTTCTTATAAGGGGTAGACATCCGCACTACACGACCTTCCTTGTCGACATCTACAAAAGCCCATTAATATGTATCCATTCAATATTCTTTTATGTTTCGTGCGACCTTTACGAAGGAGTTTCTTAGATATATGCATTCAAGTAAAAACTCATAGAGTTTCACGTATTAGATAAAGTTTAACACTCTCAAAAATAACAACAACGCACACCGTTTTATAGCAAAATTAACCTATGCCAAAGTTCTCAGCTGCAAACCACACCCTCTACTGGGTATATGCCGCACATTTATTTCACATTATTGAAATGAGTGATCATATCATATCATATTTCCTTTTGCTCCATTCTAAATGCGAAATTAGCACAACAATGGCGCTGCTGAAATGCACAACAAACATTTTATTATGTAAAAGCGCTCATACATACCAAAAGAAGTTGTTTCGCATATCCGTTGCGCTTCCGCTGAAAGTATAGAATTTCGAAAAGTTCTTAAAATGCTTACATTATGTGGAAGTAAATAGACATACATATGGGGTTCATGCTAACTATTTGTGTGCAGATATGTGTGTGTAACGGTTATTGTATAGGCGTCAAATGCAAAATGTCGGAAATCAATGAGCGCTTTATTTTGACGCGTCTTTTCAAAGGCAACAAAAGTGGCGTTTAACGTAAAAGCCCGTGCCGCGACGCCGGAAGTATGGCAGCTGGCTGCTTCGTGCTATTTGTTGTTGTGAGTTAATGTAAAGTACACAAACTTTGATGAGTATGTTTCGTTTTGATGGAGTTGCTTTGAGGAATTGATGAGATATTGTATGTACTTAAGCCAATGTTTGGTAAATACTGAAGCCAACACTTTGTTGGACATATGTACAGTGGCGGACATAAAAGTGGAATCGCAATTTTTTTTCTTTTAATTTCTGAACTTTTGATTTGGATGAAAGTTGCCACCCCAATAAAATTCCTAAAAGATCAATATTCTATGAAATAAAATTTCTGAAATAGAAAACTTCCATTCACTTCAGGTAGCTTTTACGAAAAGTTATGGTAATAATATTAATTGTTGGAGTTGCCACCTTTATTTAAAGACACTTTTTTTTTAAATATATAGAAATGTTAATAAATTTTCAATACAGTGACGTTACAGGATTTTTTTTTAATTTTTGAATTTAAGGTTTTGAAAAGAGTTGCCACTCTAATTTAATTCCTTAAAAATATTTATATATAAAATATAATTTCTGTAATAGGTAACTGAAATACTCTTGATGAAGAATTTACGAAACATAAAATTTGTGAAAAACTTGTAGAGTTGCCACTTTTTTTTTAATATATTATTCTTAAAAATGGCACATTTCCAAAACATTTGTACTAAATTAAATACAAATTTCTGTCAAATTTGTAAAATTTTCCAATTTAAAACTTGGAGCAGAGTTGCCACCCTAATGAAATTCTTAAAAAAATATTGATCTATGAAACAGTATTTTTGAAATAGGAAATAGCAATAATGGTAGCTTTTAGAAAACATCACGGTAAACATATAAATTTTAGGAGTTGCCACCTTTATTTAAATATATTATGTTTAGGAATTCAAGAAAAGGAAGAGAAATGGCAAACACAAAAAAATTATAATTAATTTTCAAATATTTGATTTTAAGCATTCAGAAGAGAGTTGCCGACCTAATGAAATTCTAACAAAAATATAAATATATAGAGCAGTATTACTAACACCAGAAAGCTGTTTGTACAATCACTACTAAATGAAAAAGCAAGTTCAGAACCATGACTTTAAGTGGTAACCGAATTGTATAGTATTAATCATAAAATAAGAAATATATTTCAAAAAAACTGCTTAGAATGATTGCAAAAAACTCAAATCAGATTAATCTGTCCACCAGTGTCTTCTATATATACAATCTGTGTAACGAAGATTCTTCTACTTAATATCGCGCTCAAAGCAAACTTCGCATGGGCACCGAGTGGTTTCGGCGGCGACCATATCTTCACTGTCATACGCAGCCAATATCGGTTGCTTCGACGGCTCATTTTACTGTTAGCGTACTTAACTGGCTAACAAAAGTCTTTGACTCTTTTAATGGACTCAAGTAGTGTTGCAATCTGTATGTTCACATATACACTCCTCACACCTTCCACCTTCGTTAATGGCTTGCTCGGTTTAGCTTACGTACACAACGTTTCGCTTGAGTGCAATGCTGCGGCGGAAGCAAGTGTATATGAAGTGGAGGCGCTTATTTAGCATCCAACAGGAATGTACTTTCATATTGTGTGAGACAACTTAAAGGAGCTTAAGTTGAGGAGCGTACTTCCGTCGACACTTACGTGTACTTTTCCATATCGCCTTCGTTACTCACCTCACACACACATGTGCACAAACGCCTGCTTTATGATATCGCTGCCCCTTTATCCGTTCTGTCACTTGTAAGTGTCTGCCGCACACTTTATCATTTTGTCTCCTCTTTTGTGTGCTTCTCGAAATGTCTGTGCTAGTATGGATTAGCCATGTTAAGTCATCAACTCAATTAAGTATTTTGTTGCCGTTCCTTAGTGCTACATTCCTCTACATAAGTTGTTGCTGCAGCCAGTGTGGTTGTATGTGAGAATTGTCTTGTCATAACTGCGCATTTATTTCCTTACATTTTCTTTGAGTTTTTTTCTTTGAGACATTTCATAAGCGGAGTTATTAATACTTCATAATTCACTGTTTTTTTCTACAAGAAGTTCCAGCCTTAAAGGCAAAGGCGAGACTTTACTTCTTGTTAATATGAGCTGGTGATACATATGTACATGAAGTGTCTGCTAAATAACGGGTGAACTAAGTAGAGGTACTTTTTTCAATAAAATTGAAGTTCGTGATCTCAGTGACATTTGGTTTCAACAAGACGGCGCATCAATCAATGGATTTCTGGAGAGAACACTTCGGTGAGCAGATAATTTCACGTTTTGGGCCGGGCGCTTGGCCAACAAGTTCGTGTGATATCACACGGTAAGACTTTTTCCTGTGGGATATGTAAAGTCTAAAGTCTATGCGGACAATACCGCATCGAATCTGGCCTTGGAGCAAGACATCACGCATGTCATACTTTAGTTACTAGTCGAAATGCTCGAAAGAGTAATCGAAAAGTGAACTTAACGCATGGGCCATGAAAGTTAAAGCCGCAGGTAAAATTTGAAGGAGAAAAAATGATTTTTCAAATGATAATAAAAATTCCACATTAGATTTGAAATTTTTATATTTTTTCTTTAAAAAAGTAAAAATCGAAATGCCTCACCCTTTAAATACATAAAGTGTCTACTAAATATGTGTATTCGAACGACATTTTATCAAAAAAAGTAAAGAAAATCAAATTTAGCGAGCCCATATTCGCCTATTCCTCAAATTTATTACTTATCAATACTTTTATGTATGTATGTGGAGTGTGCATGGAGTCCAACCCCTGGCCACCAGTCCAGAGCTCTATGAAAACTTAGCTGGTAGTAGTTTCGGCTACGAGATTTTCCAGGGTTTCTTTATTCTCGTACCAAGGGGAGCAAGAGCCTTGAAGTTCGCTCCGCCCTTCTTATGCTGACTCACCTCTCGGAAAGTATCGTGGTTTTTGTGGTTAAAACTCATATGCGGGAAGAACGTTGAGTGTGGAGTGACATTGCAACCGGGACGGCAGACGTTTTAGATAGGCCTCGAACCCTACCAAGCTGGTTAGGGTGTCCATTTCACACTGCCTATTGGTACTGAAAATCTCTGCAAATCAGCTTCAATGCATTGATTTGATACGCTATGCTCGCCGTGTGGTAAGGCTATAATCACCACGTAGCCACGATTAACACAATGGACGTAATCAATATTTTTCCTCGAGTTTAGCAATCGGCTTAATTGGAAAACTAATTTTTGAGCTCAACAAAATCATTCAAGAAGACTAATTTGCTAGAATTTGAATTAAAAAATAGATTTTTTTCGAGATTGCTCCTAATTCTCCTCCTAATTATTGTTATGCTCCAAATTAGAAAATTATTTGTACTCTCTTAAGCCTCTCGTCTGTACTTTGTGGATGGTGGGGAGTCGCTGCAGAAGAGGCGTAGTGAGTTTTCCACCGATGGGTCGAAGCTAGGAGAGTCAAAGCTAATAAAGTTAATATGTCTAGTAACTGTAAAGTCCATGATTTAGCCAGATGGGCATCCTTCTCCCGCTCACATCAGATTGGGCCCAAATTGGATCTGCATTGGCACCTCTGCAAAGTATTGTTGGTCTCAAGTAACATAGAAAGCAGGAGATCTACTGAACTACATACAGACGACATAAAAACTGAGCTGATCCTGTGTACTTGGAAACACATCTCAATCGGAGTGAAAATGCAAAAACATTCAGAAACTATCTAAGCGATGAAGACAGTAAAATGCCTAGGTATAAAAGCTGATAACAAACTGACTTGAATTCGACGTGCTGCGAACATGTCTGTCAACATAACCATGTCGCTTTTAGGACTTATACATAGCAAATATTAGGTGTCGGCTTGCAAGTAAGGACACCGGCTTCCAGGAAACTGCACACAACAGAATCAATGATATTATATAGTAGCGAAATATGGAACGAAAGTACTTGCTACGGTGTAGAGGACAGCAGCCCCGATAGTTACCTAGGCATAGTGCACTGGATCCAAATCCCCAATGAAGGTGAACAGTGGTATCTTTGCAATAGATTGACCAACAAAGGGAAGGCAACTCTGGTTATGGAGAAATAATGGAATAAAAATACACATGTTCACAATACCGCAAAGATTTAGTAAACAGGCACTGAAGGTAATAAGAAAATAATGAGCTACTACGTAACAGAGATGCTCTCCGCTCAGGGAAAATTGCCCTAAAGTAATGCGAAATGAAAAATACAGCATAGAAAGCAGGGGTGATTTAGTGGCAACCTCACTTAGGTAGAATGACGATCCCTATATGGTACGAAAGCATTTTTAACCCTTCTTACGGCCTAAAAATTACTCTGAAACCCTTCGAGGGTGTCAGAAATTAAAGATGATTTATAAACGGAATCCTTTAGATTGACGATTTTGGGTTATTATTGATGGAATCATATGCTCAGTATACCATTTAAAAGAATTATCAAATAGTAAATTTTTCAATGATCTAAACACATGCCTTCACGACATGGCAACCTAAAAGTCGAGACTGTAACATATGAGTTGAGAAGATGAGTACAAGAAAATAATAAAAACTTACGATAAAGGTATAAAACAAAATTTAACTGTGCCAAGCAACGCAAGGAAGAAAGCAAGAGTCGAATGCAACCAAGAAAGCAGCTAAAGCAGAAGGAAGAGCCGAGACCAGACGTCGAGTGAACGGCCATTCAAACAAGCAGCTGTTTGAGAAGCACTGTAATGATGACAGCTGGAGCTGTAGTAAACGCTTACACACACGTAATCCATTTACAGTTAACCCGACCAACTGAATGTTGTCTTGGCACTTGACAAGCCAACGGTTGCTGGTTGCTTGCCACAGGTCATGATTATCTATTGCGGAAATGTTGAATGCGCTGCTGAAGCATTTCAAAGTATACATAAGTCTTCATCCATAAATGTATTGGAATGCATGTGTGTGTGTTTTCATGTATTCATAGGTAGTAGGTTGTGTGTGTAAGAAACAATGGTCTAGAATGGTTAGCCATCAGAGGCCATCGGCATGCCATAGACAGATGAGTGATTGGCGAAGCCTGCATTCAGCGCTTAACAGTTGCCTATGCACTTACATAACTACATTAATATATGTGTATATATGTGCTACATACATATACCTAGTAATTCATAAGGAAAATGCGAAAACCACATGTAAGTAATCGAACTAGCTAACCACTGCCACTGCTGCCACTTGAAATGGTTCGTGTCAGAAATGAGGAAGTTGTTACAAATTTCCCACCATTTCCCCGCTGAACCCGCTGCTGTCCCGGAATTTCGCTACACCCCCCTGCAAAGTCGGTCGTTAAGGAAGCAGATAATAGCCAAGACTGCAGCTGCCGTCATAGTAGTAATGCAGAGAAATGCTACAAAAAGCGCCACATCAGCGTAATTGAAAATAAAATAATAAAACTAGAATGTGGCAGAGTTGCTTGCTACAAAAGTGCGCAACGTTTTCTTTGTGATGCACTTTCTTCAATTGCAAGCGTCATTTTCGCAAGCACTTGCCACAGTTGCGAACGCTCGAAATCGAACAAAGTACTGTTAGTGCTCATATGTATTCATATGTGTTCGTATGTTGGTTTGAGTAGTTCGTTTTTCCTTATAATGCCGACTTCCGTCGTTAGTTCTGCATTCTCGGCAAATACTTACGCCACTTAAAGTGCAGCACTTTTCAGTGTTGTTTTCTAACTGATTCTCGATTTTGGTCCATTACTGATTAGTTCGTGCCTCATAAATCACCAAGTAGTTACCAGACTGCCAGCTGCCATGGTGGATTTTAGTTTGGGTTTGGCAAATTTTCGGTTTGTCATCGTTAAATTTTGTAAAAAGTTCAACAAAAGATTGTGGTTTTTAAGATAAAAGTCACACTATGAAATATTTCTATATATTTTAGTCAGAGGTTGGAGCCATGTTTAGAAGTTCAAGCAAATAAGGAAAGTTATGCGAGCACCATTAACTTGGCAGTGGCAAGGAACGATTCTTTTATAGATGGCTCAAGCAGCTCACGACTTCTGGTCTTAGACCATGAACCCTCTAAGTAGCCAAAAAGCATTTATTCGATGAAGAGCTACAGTGAGAAGGCAAAACATTCCTACTAAGGGTTGTGCGATGGCCTTGAGACCCGTCACGTAAAAAATACTTCAAATGAAAAGAACAAAACAGCGACGAGATTTCAAACAAGGCAGGTTCCTATCATACCACTTCTTCAATCTACTCCTATAGAAAATAATTCACGCTGCAGAGCTGAATAGAAAAAGTACAATGTTCTCAAAGAGTGCACAACTGCTGGCGTATGCCGATAACATCGATATCATTGGGCCAAAGAACTGCACTGCTTTCTTTAAAATGGATAAGTAAGCGAGCAAATTCGTCTGGCAGTGAACGAGGCAAGACGAAATATATCCTGTCATCAAACAAACAGTCGCCGCACTCGCGCCTTGGCTCCCACGTTACTATTGACATTTATAACTTCAAAGTAATAGATATTTTCGTCCATCTTGGAACCAACATTAATACCAACAATAATATCAGCCTCGAAATCCAACGTTGAATCACTCTTGCCAACAGGCGCTACTTCGCACTGTGTGTTTGCAGAGTCCTCCCTCGACGAAGAAAGACCAAATCTCTTATCATCCCCGACCTGCTACATGGTGCACAGCTTGAGAACATCTGATGAGTCGGTGTTAAGAGTTTGTAGGGAGAAAGGTGCTATGGAAATTGTGTGGTGCTTTGCTTATTGTTAACGGCGAATACCGCAGTCGTAGGAACGATGAGCTGAACACACATGAGTTCTAAGAGGATTCGGAGCAGTATCTGCCGGAAGAATAAGGAGAAGAAGGAGACCTCCACTCCGTAGAGAAGGCCAGGTGAAACAGTGAAAAGAAAGAACAACTGGCGAGCTATTGTAAGTTCGGTTATAACCGCGTAAGAAGAAAAAGAAGTTCGCGTGTAAGTATACAAAGAGATGGACAGAGGAATGACGGTCATGACGACGTTTTCTTTTGGGTGGTTGAAATATAGAAGAAAACTTCATATAAGTAAAAAAGAGAACACATTGGGCTGACATATCTTCTATCTAAGACAGACAACATTGCTCAGTCGGGTAAAAATCCGTAAGACATAATTCTCAATTTGCACCTAAAGCTTTATTAGAGCTTTGTCTTACATAATTTCGATAGTAGACGGTTCATGTCTTAAAATTAAACAGCCATAGCGAAAGCTTAGAACTTCGTTCGTACGCGAATTGAGCCGTCCAATCTTGAATTTATATCAGACCAAAGGAACTAAACTAGATTTGGTTTAGTGGATCCATTCATAAGATCTGAGGTTAACAGATTATATCCACTATATATTAGATTCAGCGACTTACACATTGGAGGAAAAAGAGTTTGAATTCTGTTCCCAAGATAGGCGATTTCATATAACTGAAACGATTCATATAATACATCCAAATAATGACTGATACTACAACGACAATGCGGTTTCAAATATGATAGGATGAAAAAAGCTCGGTCCATTGCAAAATCCAGTTTACGCTTCCCACTTTTATGGACCATGAGCACCTGAATTTGAGACTACGGAACAAAAAAACGACATGCCAGATTTATACCGTTAGATGAATTAACGTTCTACAGTAACTTTCGATTACTACGTCTCATCCCAAAACGAGTTATTTCCAAATTATTAATAAAAAGTAGACGCGAACGGGAGTTGGGCAAGATATACTGAATTTCATAGAGATAAAATTTCGAAAGAGAGAATGGCAGATTATTCCGAGATCTTACAAATAATATGTATTATTCAAGGTTTCAGGTTTCAGGAAAGAGACCGTAAAGAACAACCCCTTTTGTAACAAATTTGAGAATACTGGGTTAGACGCTGAGGCGACAATAATAGGCCCGCAGTCGAACATGGTCAGTATAAGCAAGGAACTCGCTGTAGAGATTCTTACTAGCGAAAATCAAACAAAAATCAACGCTAAAATCTCCAAATTAACAGATATGGCATTTAAAGACACAATACGGATACGCTCTAAAAGTCTCCACTTCCCATAAATTATATAAACAAAAAATGTTTTAAACCGATATGACACACACTGTAAATGACTTACATGCCACTTGTAAAATTGGAACAAAATTTGAAATTGAAAAACATTTGGAAACTTTTTTTTATTCAGTTTTTGTTTTCCCGCGTCGCGTGTATATTTTTTTCAGGGGATTTAAAATATATATATATWTWTTTTTTTATATTTTACAAGATACATATTTAGATAGAAGTGTACATATATTTTCGGAAGCATTTAGTAAATAATATTCGCGAATATATTTGAGTATTAATTAAAAATGACAGCTAAAGTCGATGACGCCAAACCAACCAAGGTATGTCCCTACCAAAAACACAAACAGTTTTATAACTTTAAACGATGTCTTGCAGACGCCTAAGCTTAGCGGCGGACGAATAACACGTATGCCCTACAAGAAACTTTACGATACTGAAATTGAAGAGATGATTAGCGTGCGACGGGCGCTTAAGGTTTGTCACGTGTGTCCCGGTAGCTGTAAGTTGTCTCACTTCTCTTCCGCAATTATAGGTGCACGATGACGAACTCGTTGACGTAACACCTAAACTATTGAAAGTGGTGGACAATATTAAAGAACGCAAATATAAGATATTGAATGAAACGTTAAAAGCCGATTTATCTGCAACGGATTCGTCAACACGCGGCAGCTTGATGAGCCGACAAAGTGTGGCGAGTCATTCCAGCGCGATCAGGTTTAAGTTGGGTGGTCTACGCTTATCCTTAGATGATGTCATAAATAATGTACGTATGGTGGTAATCTATTGATAAAGGGTGCTTCATACGGTGCTTCAGTTTCGTAGAAGCATATAATTATCGATACTAATTATAATAAAGTATAATGAAGATGAAGTATAATGAAGGTGTCGAAGAATGCTCGAAAATTTCGGTCGTTTACGGAATCTCATTTTTGTATAGACTATAGACTACAATCGGAAAAGCCACTTACGGGACTTGTCCGAATAGTAATGAGCCGATTTAAAAAAATGTATTGAACCAATCGTTACAATTCATTAAAAACTTTCTTTCTGCGTTGATTAGCGCTGCCAGCGCGATTTCCAAGCATTGAAGTGACACCTTCCGGACATTCTCCGGAATAGCCTTGAGAGCCGAGGTGCATGCTGCTTGGATCCCCTCCGTCGTCTGTTGCCTTTTCAGACAAGGAAATAAAAAAAAGTCCGGAGGCCACAAGGCAAGCGTTGGGATGCCGGCATTGGTTAGATAGCTGTTCACAAGAAAAGCGGTGTGAGCAGGGGCGTTGTCGTGGTGCAACTTTAAATCCACTTCCACGTAAAACTATGCATTGACGGTTTGTCCAGGATGGTGGATAATGCCTTTGTCCATTCATGGTGGACGATGACTTTAATGTCAAAAAAGACAATGAGCTTCCTGCTAAAGCGACATCTGGGTAAGACTGCCTGTTCGTATGAAACATATCTGCCACAGATTTACCGAGTTTCACACAGAATTTAATCGCGTTCCTCTGCTCTAACGAACGTTTCATTTTCGACTTGCACCACTTACGCGAAAATGTTCGCCCTGACTCTCCAGGTGCTCGGAGACAACTGACCAGCCGCTCAGCTAGGAGCGCCCTCTATCGAACGCAGTCGGTGCGCGCACAGTCCGAAGAACTGTTGCGGTGGAGGAAAATCAGTCCTTTTACCTACTGCACTGGACGACCCAGAGATCAATTGCTTCGTGATATCCAAATCTTCCAGTGATGCTTTCTATCCGCACTGAAATTGTAACTTCCTGTAGATTTACTGGTCTCTCGAACGTCATAGTTTGTTTTGTTATGCAGATACCACTTTCATGTTCAATAGAAGCCGCTTTTCAGTACAACAGCTTTTTCGACAATATTTCCAAAGTGAAATCTTTATGGAACACCCCACATAGTACACCTATTTATATATAATTATTTTTTTATTCAGGTCGGCAGTTTACAAAATGTCTTCATAAGCAACGAACAGGAGGAGGAATCCATGTTCTATCTACGACGGAGTGAACATAAATATCCGTTCATAAAAGTTGTGCTACAGAAAAGCCCCATATTTTTACTGTATGAAGCTGGGAGTTTCACCGTACCGAAAGGTACAAAGCTGGCACAAAATGTCGAGATGGATAATACAATTTATGATTATTTGACCATCGGGCGTGGTAATGTGCGTAGGCGCAGTGACGCTGAGACCCAAACTATAGAGGCGATAATGAAAACCCGCTATGTCAACACTTATTATCGCAATCCGGAGGAAAAGGGCACATACGTGTCCTTATATGAGTTGCACGATACGTATAAAGGGTTGCCTAAACGCGATAAGGACGAAACGGGTCGTAAAAAAATCCAAAGAATCCAGAAAATGTACGATCTAGAGCACAGTGCGGAGCTTGTACAGCTAACGGAGAACTCACGCTTTAAATTTGCCACCATGGTTATGGAAAGAATTTTAGCGGGTAATGTGTACCAGAAGAGTCAGCTAAGGTTTCGCAATTTTTGTCAACCCAGTAAATCGGATAGTGTCGCCGAGTATCGTTACAAACCCGAAATAATATTCACATTGCATGCGCCTAAGTTTGGTGCCCAACAAGCGTCGGGCTTAAATCGTAAGGCTGTCTCAGATATTAGCTTTTGTTATGGCAATGGCGATATTCTAGCTGTAGCCTACGGTCTCTTCTCGTATTCGGCCTTAATAACTGTATCTACGGGCAATGTATGCATTTGGAGCATTAAAAATCCACAGCATCCCGAACGCTGCTATCGCTATAATATACCAGTGACATCGGTGGAATTTTCACCGTTTTTGCCATTTCTACTAGCTGTCGGCATGATGGATGGTACCGTTGAGGTGCGCAACATAACCAAACCCAATGATCCACCCATTGCAGTTTCACAACGCAGCACATCGCTAAATGGCGATCCGGTAATTGCGCTGAGGTGGATTAAACAGCCGCAGGACAAGCATGATACCGATCCGATATTGGCGCTTTCATCTAACGGTTCTGTCTGGAAGTATTATGTCATACATAGTCCATATCTGTTGGGCTTCAAACAGATGGTATTGTATCGTGTTGATGGACAACCTGAGGGTTTGCAGCTCAAACAAACTCCGAAATCCGCTGAACTCTTTGCGAACAGACGTCCATTGGGGCTGAACATCACATTGCATCCGCAATTGAGAGATATTTACTTTATGCTCACCGATGAGGGTTGTGTGTACAAGTGCTCTACCAATTCGACGCATACATACTTAGATATTTGGCAGACCCATGAGGGGGCAGTTAATTGCATGGATTTTTCTCCGTGGTCGCCGAAACTGTTTCTAACTTGTGGCAATGATTGGTAAGTGTTTTTCAAAGGTTCTTGATTTTAAAGTTTATGAAGGATCTTATATATTTGGCTGACTCCATTACCGGGAAATAGACTTCTTCGCCATTTGTACTAGAATGGATAGCTAAGATTTCCAGAGTGCGTTTTACGATGACGACGGTTATAGTCTGCGACATGACGTCTTCTCGAGCGAAGCTGTTTCTGCCTTCGCAGAATTATCCATAATGTTCTTTTTAAGGACTTAAAATCTCTCACGTGCTTTGATTCTGAGGATTCAATAGAATTCCCAATCGAGCTAACACAAAGTTATCTCTTTCCGTTACTCTTCAAAGTCCGCGCCGAATAAGGTTCTGCTTCTTAAAGCTTAAAATACCATTTATGTCTCCATATAAGTGGACCTCAGGCAATCGGAAATGTCAGTTTGTCGACTCTTTTTAGCAATACTCAGATCTAACTTGATGCATTGCATTTTTTCACATAAAACATCTATTCAAAGTCACCCCAATAAGACTTACTATCAGTCCAAAGATGTAGGGATAACAAGACGGAGAAAGTTATACATTTTAAATGTAGCACGAAATATCCCTTAACCTCTTAGGTGCATTCGAATCTGGATGGATGGAATCTTAAAACCCCTAATCACGCTGAAGTACAAAATGAAGCCAATTTATGCGGCTCAATGGAGCCGATCACATTCAACCGTAATTATAGCCACCAATCGTTCCTCACTGGATGTTTGGGATATCCATCGTAATATATTGGCACCAATTTCACGCACAAAATTAAGCAAATCCTTCAATACGATGTTCAAGTAAGCCTATTTTTACAAAACTTAAACCAATTATCCAACAAAATACACAATTTAAATCCAAATTTATTCCAGGCATAGTCTGTGTGGTCGCAGTTTGGCAGTGGGTAATGAACGCGGTGACGTCTTCATTTGTTCCTTGGTAAAAATGCCATTTCAACCATACTTTCAATACGATGCGTTACGGCGTTCGCTGTTCAATGCGATTTCGACATCTGCCGACTTACTAATCGAGCTGAATAATATCGGCTTTTTTGGTTATCCAGGGAAGGGGTTTAAGCCAGAGGAATGAGCAAAATTATTAAAATCAATTAAAATTTTTGGAAAGTGTATTAAAGTGGAAAAATTAATGGGAAAGTAACTGTAAATTAACTGAGTATAGGGAGAGTAGAGACGTAAAGGATAATGGTATTATAAACGGGAGGGAGAACTATTGTTAGATATATATAAATTGGCGAAATGATTGTATTTTCTTAGTAATAATCAATAGCATAATAAAGGTAGTTATGTAAGTAATTAAGTGCCGTGTTATTACTGACTCAAGAAAAGGAAACTATTTCTTTTTTAATTTCAAAAAGTTTGTCTGGATAAGAAAGGAAAAGGGGTCAGCTAAGACGTTACCAGTTTGAAAAATGTTAATGGAGTACCAGCTGGTTGTAGAGGAATAAGGAAGAGGAAAGAACTAAGTGGAGTAGAACTTGGTTTCACTTAGTGCTTTAAATTTTCAAAAGACAAACGTAAAAATGTGTGCATTCACGGTTTTCGAGTGCTTTCTTGAAAAGATTCTATCAAACTTCAAGTGACATAAATGAATTGGACCCAATGATATAGAGGTAATGTCTCCTTTTGTCAAAGTGCTGAATATTATTGAAGTATTTTAAGAAAAACTTAGAAGATACCGTTCCGACTCAAAGATGTTCCGAAAAATCGTTTGTAGTATTACGCCTTGAGTTAAATATACTGTGTTTTTGCAGTTTCAAATAGGTATCATTGTAAGTTTTACTTCGGATGATGAATTATTGCGAGCGAGTTTGCTGTCGGCTTTTCTTTACCGAATTTTACTAGCGTGAAAACTCAGTCTCAAACCAATTTCAACCAGATACCAACGAACTGGTGCATTCGGTTAGTAACCCCGCCCACTATACGTATAACGGGTTACTATTAAAAGTGCGATAAAGATAAAGTATCAATAAAGAAAAAAGTCAGAGACGTATAATTTTGCACCGATAATGGTACGGAGGGTAGAGAGGGTATCAAAATTGCCAGCGAGATTTGGCCTTAAAATGAAGTCCTATCTCAGTTTCTGATATCTCAGCAACTCTTTTAATCAATTTCAAACAAAATTGGAGCTAACTAAAATGACATAAAACCTTGCACAAACAGCGCTGTAAGAGATGCTGTTTGTGGTAAAAAACATTTGTAAAAATCGAGCGAAAAAATTTCAAGATCCTTGATACCGATAATATGGTCTTTAGATGATTTTGTGACGAAAATGTCGGCCAAACCTCCCGTTCATGGAGCTCTTCAGTCAAAAATGGGTAAAAATGGTTTAGCACCTTCTTTAGCTCTTATATGTCTAATATAAAAATTTTCAAACTTTCGGTTGAGCTTACATATACCGTATATGTTGGATATAATCAAACAAGCGGAGCTGGCTTCTAAGGCATCTGCAGGCAATTCTAAAGTCAACCTCTACGTAGACATCCAAAGCAATCAGGGCAGTAACCCCGTATCGCATATCGGCTAGAGGTGGCTTGGAAGGCAGGGTAGCAATGGAAAGTGTTGCCAGAAGCCAACAATTTCGCTTCTACTGACTGCGAGGCCACAAAAATATCGACGGAAATTAAATAGTGGTGATGGCCAAGAATGGTGCAAGGCTAACATCCGAAAACGTGATCTATACGACGACCCGGACAAAAGCTTGGTGAAGAAAATTAAAACCTAATGAAACGAGCTACCAGAGTTGCAAAACTGCAAGAGTCATATGGAAAACGATAGAACGGAAATACACAGTGTTTCTATTGGCATTCAATAGAAGCGACTGTAAGAGGATGATGGGAATATTAACTGCTCACTGCCGGTTGGCGACACGCACCCGCAAGATGGCGCTGACTGGTAAGATACACTGGAATCGGTATCAATAGTGAGGCCACAGATACTGTTGAAATTTTTTCCTCGAATTTCCTTAAATCGATATATGATAAACGATGTTCTAAAATACTTAATGCTGAATATGTCCACCAGTATGTATTTTATATTGATGAAATAGCTAAGAAATATGGTCTAGACTTTGGTCTACTTAGTCTATGTCTCAAACATATTTTATTTATACTCTCGCAACAAAGTTGCTAATACTCTTCTATAGTTTTGTTCACATAACGGTTGTTTGTAAAGTAGGTGGTAAACCTAAGAGTCAGATATAGGGTTATATATACCAAAGTGAT